ATAGAACAAGAATATCAATACATAATCTAAAAACATCTCCGCTCCATCCATTGCTTTAACGGTTGTTATTAAGGCATTATGTTAGTCGTCTGTCGGGAATAACTCAACATGCTTCAAGGTGAAAACTTGTCGGTGCTGAATCACTTTATTGAATATTAAGTCGGAAGTTCATCTCAAAACAGTTTCACATACGGATCAAAAAGTGTTGTGTTGTCTGTTGGAAATAACTCTTGACTTGATGAGTTATTTCATTTAACTTGCACATTTATGTCTTAAAAAAACGAATATCATAACTGAGGGAAGTTAGAAAATGGTTAAAAACATTAATATGTTGTAGTTTGGAAATAACCCTTGACTTGGGGGAAAAAAAAACCAACTCTACTTTATTGGATATCACTTGTATGTGTATGTCTTGAATTTATTTTAAAAAGGTTGGAAAGGTGCTTAATGGATAATTATTCCTGAATATATACTCGGTACTGGTAAGAATTCATCTCTTCTGTAGAATCAGTGTGAATTGTTAATATAATGTACGTTCAGTATTTTAACCGATATAGATTGCCGGTGAACATTGGGTTATTATTCAAACCGGCCTGTACATTATACATAAGTACAGGTTTTCACGGCAGCATTAAAAGTTATTGTAGACTATTAATCTGACTCTCGCTTCCTCACTCAAGATTAACGTACATGTATTCAACTTACATATAAGTAGTAAAGTACATTTTTCTTCAACATGCTAGAATCGGGACGATATCGGCAGGCAAGCAATTCACCGTGTTCCACCACAAAACACTGTGATCAACCGCGAAACTGTGTGATCCATCGCGATTTGGCACGCTAGCGATTTGCCAAGGACACCCCATGAAACTCAGCGTTTTTCGGCCGTGTACGGCGATTCTGTTCTCAAACTCAAGCCGTGTACTGTACATGCTCGGACAATCGTGATCTGACGTTGGTTAATAAAGTTCCATTATTCCACTTTTAATTACATACATACATATACTGGTACATGTATTGGAAAATATAGGCATGATAAACATGGCTAGAAACCAGAATCTGAAAATAGTTTTTTTTGCCCGAAAGTTGCTTCTTTCTTTTGCCCTTAAGAATACCAGTATCTATACTATTCAAAAAAAGTAGGGGATATTTGATTTTTAAGTGTTATGAAAGTCACCTAATGAAACTGACGAAGAAACAAATGACAAAATGAAATGAAGTTCACATTCATCGATTTATTCCAAATGATCGTTAGACTAAGTAAGGCACAGACTGACCATTATAAGGGTAAAATGATACCCGGGGTCAAACAGCAAAGTTACCACAGCATCACAACCAAGTCAGTTACGGGTAAATCCTCCTCTGTTTGCCAAACAAGCATTGATCCGACGTGGCATACTCCTAATGAGACGTCTAAGGTCATTTTGGTCCAGATTGTCCCATTCCTGTTGCAACGCAGCAGCAAGTTCTTGGACATTGGCAGGACGTTGTTGACGTTGACGTAACCTCTGTCCAAGCATGTCCCAGACATGCTCGATGGGGGAGAGGTCGGGACTCAGTGCTGGCCAAGGTAATGTGGTGATGTTCTGTTGTTGGAGGTAACCTGTAACGATCCTGGCCCTGTGACATCTTGCGTTGTCATCCTGGAAGATGAAACGGCGGCCATGACGTCGTGCGAACGGCACAACATGGACTGCCAAGATGTTGTCCCGGTAGTACTGGCCTGTAACACGCCCTGCAACAACATGTAAAGCCGTTCTTCCAGCAACAGTGATGCCTCCCCACACCATAACAGAACCACCCCCAAATCGATCATGTCTGATGACGTTAACGTCTTGGAAGCGCTCGTTTCGACGACGCCACACCCTCCTACGTCTGTCCAAAAAATCAACAGTGAACCTTGACTCATCTGAAAACATCACATTGCTCCAGTGTCGATTATCCCAGTGTTGACGATCCCTACACCAACGACGTCTTGCCTGAATGTGATGATCTCTCAAACAAGGGATCACGCGATGACGTCGGGCGCGAAGGTGACCCCTATGCAGTCGATTCCGAATCGTCTGGCCACTCACTCTCACACCAGTGTCTGTTTGAAGACGAGCGCTGATCTGATTTGCTGTGATGACACGATTTCTCAAGGCCAAGGTACGGATAAATCGATCCTGGGCTTGAGTTGTCGCCCTTGGTCGACCTGAGCGTGGTCTGTCCTGTACAGATTGTGTATCACGGTATCTGGACCATAGCCTGCTTATGACAGACTGAGAAACATTCATCGTCCGCGCCACAACCGCCTGTGTTGTGTCGATCTGTAGCATGCCAAGGGCACGTAACCTTTCATTTTGGGTAAGCCGACGCACATCAAAATTTGTTTTCTGGTCACTAAAACAATTAAACTGATGTTTCCACCCTGGAATTCAATGCCACAATGACTGTAACATTCAAAGTCAGAGTCGTGCAAATCTTGGGTTGGACCCCCATGATGATCCCAAGCATCACCTGCATTCCATGCGGTAGCTATTGGTGCGTTTGGGCGTCACATGTAACTGGAAATGTTTCTTCTGTTAGGTTCTATAGTGACTTTTTTCGTAGTCATTTGCATATTTTAGTATTATGCCCCCAAAATCAAATATCCCCTACTTTTTTTGAATAGTATATTTTTGGTAGCAGCAAACATGGGATAATCTTACAGATAAATTCTAAAATCTATCCAAAAACATTATTAAATATTTAATTTGGGTGTTGATATAATGGAAGAGAAATTTCAGATGCTTTTTACATTATCTTGGCCAGTATCCTACTGTATTGTGTAATAGTACACAAAACAAGATAATGTAAGAAATTTTAATCCCTTTAAGTGCCTGTGTTTATAATGGAAATTGGTCTTACTAAAGTGATTTAACTTAACATGGAGACTTAAATTGGTCAAGTTTTGAAAAAAAAACAACAACCCCAGTTTGTTTTTTTATTAATTCCTAATTTTTCTAATAATGGTGTTACAATTGTACCATATTCAACAGATTAAATACAGTGTAGGTAATAACATTACTGGAACTAGGTCTAAGGCGTGATATATAGATTTACAAATTCTTTCTGAAAAAGAATGGGAAATGACTAAGTTAAAGCATTTCCTTCAACAACTAGAAAAAACCATGTGTTAGACCAACTAAAGAATTAAGATTTGTAACTCAAGAGTTTATGGTTTAGAACAAGTAGTATGTATATCTTATGGCACCATAGAGGGTTGTTTCTGGTGGAAAATGTTTATTTTAAGGCTATTATATGCTCATCTTCCATGCAGAGTGGAAGGGACATGATTTGTATTTTATTACAACTGGGGGGGGGGGGGTGGCCGAATGGTTAGCATGTGCGTGCTGTATCATACGGCCTGTCATTGAGTCAACTGGCGTGGTTTCGAATCCCTGGTTGTACGTGACAAGGAGTAGGGTCGCCTGTCCAACCTCGTGGGTTTTCTCCGGGTCCTCCGGTTTCCTGCCACTGCTAAAGACCCCTACGCGCAAGCGAATTATTGAAATAAAATTAAAACCATATGTTAGTCCCGAAATGACCTAGTTTGTGTCGAGTGGACGTTAAACCCCATTTCTCTCTCTCTCTCTCTTTTATTACAACTGTCTAGATTGTTCTCTAATTTATAATAGATTATAAATCTTACATTATAAGTGTAACACTCTACCTGTGCATGTACCTGGAAGTTCATTTCAATTTATACCCGAGATTGTTTACATGTATGTTAAGTTTCATGTAAATATACATGCACTGAAGTTCCTATTCACCAAAGGGGGAGTTCAGTTGGCATCATAAGACCTCTGTCAAGTGCTGTGGTTTTGATTCGCCACTTGTGCACGACAAGGAGTAGGGTCGACTGTCCAACCTCGTGGGTTTTCTCCAGGTCCTCCGGTTTCCTCCCACTGCCAAAGACGCCTACGTACAAGCGATTGATTGAAATAGAACTGAACCATATGTTAGTCCTGAAATGACCTAGTTTGTGTCGATTGGACATTAAACCCCATTCCTCTCTCTCTCTCTCCATATTCACCAAAACTTAAGGTATCTATCTGATTATCATGTTGTTAATCCCATACAAACTACAATGTTATATACATGTATTGTGAAATATGTATGTAGATACAGGTTGAATGTGAGTGTTCCACCTTATGTGTACATGCATGTGCATGTACCTGGAAGTTACCTTTCTTGTTATGTCTATCATGACTGTTTATATTGTTTCACCTATAAACATCCTGTGAAAGAATCTGCAATTGCATAGCACAAAGATTATCAAAAAAAAACCCATTAATTGTGACATTAGTAGGCCATATAAATAAGGTTATATTTTGCACCAGATGTACTTGTGAATTGTTATATTTACATAGATTTAGATTGACATATTTTACAATTGTTCATCTGTTATTATAATATTCACCCCTGGAAATAAAGATATTAGTTGTACCTGACAAACTGTCAGCCACTAATGAATTAGTACCTGATATTTGTGACTTTGTTCTGGACATGTATGAATGATATCAAATACACAGAAAAAAGACAAATCTTTGCTGGACCAAATTTTAGTTTCTGGAGAAACTAGTACATGTACTATCCTCGTTATCCCCAATGGCATCAGTCCGTTCTACTCCACTAAGCCCTTAATCATAGGTAGATTCTATGAACCAATCAAAAAAGTTTACATACACTGTAATAGTCTTAGCGTCATTGTTTAAGTTCACCACAATAATCTTAGTTGCAAGTTACTGAGTCTCTTCCGTGAATGGACCCAGGGGATAGTGGTGTAGTGTTGATTTTGTGCTGGACATGTAATAATAAATGATTAAAATCAATAAAGACACAAAAAAATTGCAGTTCTATACTGGACAAAATGACAGGACCTGAAATTGTGCCTGACAATGTCTGTAACAGATGCCTTATTTCCAGGCTTGAAATATTTAACTTTTGTTTTACCTTTGTATTTTTTTTTCCTACAGGAGTGTAATTAGATCATCAACATGGAGTTGGCTCACAGCCTCTTATTAAATGAGGAGGCTTTTAAGAGGATACCTGATACCAAACGACCTGTTTTTGTGTTTGAATGGCTCAGATTTTTGGATAAAGTTTTAGGGGCGGCTCAAAAAGTAAGTTTTTGTTATAATATTACAAGTTGTTTCTTGCCTGGAACTATGATGTTGTGGAAGAAAAATATTGAGGTGTCCTTAAGAAAAGAGGGGAACACCCTTTTTGTTCTATGTGACAAAATATTGAGCAGCAAATTGGATCCTAATCCAGTAAATATCACAGGCTAAAGATGACATCAAGAGTTGATTATGGTTTGGATAAGTTATTTAATGTCTAATTAATAATTTAGATAACATTTCAAGCCTAAAGAAAGACCTGAAATAGGTAGATTTACCTCTTGCATAATGTATGTTTAATGAGTTAAATAAGAATGATGGAAACAGGTGAAACAAGACTGTATTAAGACAGAAAGTATGCACATGATAACAGATTTAATTCATTATATATCTCCTTCAACACAAACAGACATAACCTGTACATAAATTGAAAGAGGAATAAATGCTTTGCAGTTGGTAAAAAAACAAATTTTTTGATTTGACTACACAGTTAAATTGGGTATGATCAAAATTGACCAAGATGTATAAACTTGCAATCTACGATTCGTACACAAGATTTTTTTTATGGTTTTCTAACTTTAACTAACAATTGTGAAGTATTCCTAACTCTTGTAAGTCTCGGCTTATTTTGAGGCTAAGATGTCCGAAGAGTAATGCCCTGAGCCAACTCTTTGATCAGATTTCATTGTGATGATTGTAGACACTACTCACAAATCATTGTGGTGAAATAGATGTTTTAATTAGAGCCAGGGTTTATTTAATGAGAATGTTACAGAACAGGTGAAACAGAAGTAGGTAAAGAAATAATGTGAGACAGAGAGAGTTATTATGATACAATCTTCTGTCATCTGATCAACATTTTGTCTCGACACCGGTTTCCATCATTCTATCAAGCTATAATGATTATCTCGTTAACGCCATCTTCTCCCTTTCTTCATCTAATTTAAAGATTTAACGGTTCACAGACAGCTGAAACCAATATTAGTTACTGTCTGGTACTACTAGTTCCACCAGCCTTCGGTAGTTACCGTTACCAGACTATAGTACCAGTATCGATAGCCTCCATTTGTAGTGATTTATTGGAGGAAAGATTAGGGGGGTTGGATGGCCGAATGGTTAGCATGTGCACATTGTATCATAAGGTCTGTCATTGAATCAACTGGCGGGGTTTCGATTCCCTGGTTGTACGTGACAAGGAGTAGGGTTGCCTGTCCAACTTCGTGGGTTTTCTCCAGGACCTCTGGTTTCCCCCCACTGCTAAAGACCACTTCGCGCAAGTGAATTATTGAAATAAAATTGAACCAAATATTACATGTAGTCCCGAAATGACCTAGCTTGTGTCGTGTGGATGTTAAACCCCATTTCTCTCTCTCTCTCTCTCTCTCTCTCTCTCTTGGAGGAGGAGGAGGAAAGATTAACTTTTCTGAACAAAAGTACTGTGCAACAAAAGTGAATTCCACCAATGAGAAATGGTATTAGCTGTTCTAGAGAGTAAACATACCCTGCCTCACCATGACAACTGTCACTAATCCTAGCTAACTTAATTTGAAAGATAAATCTGGAATCGCAAACCATCACTCAATGCAACAAACGTTACGATCAAAAGCGCTAGCTTTTAAAGGCTGATACCAATAATACATGTACTACTGGTTCTCTGGGTACTACCTGTACATGCAGAACAGTAGTATCACTATCCACAGCCTCCAACCTTCTTCATTAGCCCAGTCGGAGCAGAACAGTAGGAGGTTAAACCCCATTTCTTTTCATTTCATAGTCTCCAGACTCATCTTGGTACCAATAGCAGGCTACTAATTGAAAGTCTAACATCAGTAACATGTCTGTGATTGATTTTTTGAAAAGATCCGTCTTTGAAACCAATATTAGTCACTGTTAGTAGGCTGAGTACTAATAGCCTCCAGACTGATAGTTGTAGTATTAAAATCAAACTTGTGAACCGTCTGAGAAAGATTTAAAAAAAGGCATCATTTTGTCAAAAACATTTGATTTTTTGAAAATACTAGTCCAAAGAATAAATATATTTACTTTGCTTTAAAATGTCTGTAATTACATAGACCAAAGTACATAATTTTAGCAAAAAAGTTGATTAAACAAAAAATAGTACTCACACAAATAATTGAATATTTGCATTCAAATATATTGACAGAATTACACCAAACAAAGTAGTAGTTATAGCAACATGTTGTTATTCTCTCTCTAAAATGAAATTAGCGCTCACACAAATATTTTAATATTTGGTTCAAAAAAATCTTCATGGCTATTTGAAAGATATACAATTCCTAGAAATCTGAAAAGGCACAAAAAAAGAAAGAATCAGGGGTGCTGTATTAAAGACGGACAATGTATATCTATTGTTTTTATGGTCGACAATTTTTTCACAGGGATTGGGTGTGCGCGAAACTTTTTGCAAGGGGAGCCTCTCCTCCCCCCCCCCTTAGTTACGGGCCTCTTTGAATGGTAAAATGAGCATTTAAAGTAACCACTATGAAAAAAAAAACTCCCAGAAATTTGACAGAAAGAATTGAAAAGTATTCAAATGAACATTGATCTTTTTGATAATGACTTGAGTGAAAAATGTGATGAGAATGTTGAATGGATTAACTGCACAAAAAAACACAGAGACAAAACAAACAATACAGTAATGCTGAAAAAAAAAATATCAAGAAGGAAATGGCAACATCTGAAAAATGATGTTGGTAGCTTAGAGGCTTTTATATATTGATGATTGAGATGATCAAACGGACATTGGTTATTCTAAAAACATCTGCCTCGGATAAATGTTGATTAAAGAACTATTTAAAGAAAGAGAGAATGAGACGGAAATATTAACATTAGGTTGCATACACAACTAAGTGTATCATACGGTCTGTCATTGAGTAAACTGGCGAGCTTTCGATTCCTCAGTTGTACGTGACAAGGTGTAGGGTCATCTGTCCAACCTCTGGTTTCCTCCCACTGCTAAAGACCCCTATGCACATGCAAATTGTTGAAATAAAATCGAACCATGTGTTAGTCCCGAAATGACTTAGTTTGTGTTGAATGGACTTTAAACCCCATTTCTCTCTCTCTCTGTCTCTCACAACTAAGTCTAAAGGGAATAAGGTTATGGTTGGATCCCAGTGTTGGCCGAGAAACTTCTTCTGGATTTTCCAGTCTGGTCTCTCCCCTGTCAGTGGTGCAGGATGGAGTGCCTGGCAAGAAAAAGCTTCAATAGCAGCGAGTCGTTTGGATACATGTACATGTCATATACCTAAAATAGGTAAAGAACCCTTGACAGTTGGAATTCAATGAAGACTGGGCAGAGTGCAGCTGTCCATTCATAATTTCCCTTATACATGGTGTATGAATGATACATGTATATCTGTCTCTATTATAGTATTAGGCCTAGTTTGTGTCAAGTGGATGTTAAACCCTCTGTCTGTCTGTCTGTCTCTCTTGTTGCAAAAGAATAGATGTTAAACTCCCTTTCATTTGATTTCATATCAATTACTTGTGACAAATAAAATATCATGGTTAGAAATGAAAGGAAATGGGATTTAACGTCTTACTGTACAGCTCTGACTGGGCTAGTGAAGACGGACATACGCCATGCAGTGTGCTATGAGGGAAATTTTGCCCGGACAGCAGCACTATGGCCTACTCTTATATTGAATTCCAGCTGTCAAGGGATCTTTTACGCGGACGCCAATGTGTACTTGAACGACTAGACAACTGTCCTTGTCATGCCCTCTGTCCTGCACCACAGGCAAGGGGGAACCACGCCGGAAAATCTGGATGAACTTTCTCGGCCAATGCAGAGATCGAACACCCAACCTCCAGACTAGCGAGCCAACGTCTTACCCACTTAGCCACCATGACCCCCATGAAGGTTAGATGAACAGGGATTAAGCTATACAACTTGTAAAACAATGTACATTGACAAAATGTTATGGTTACTAAGATATAATATATCTATGTCTAGTCTTCATCTACTATAACTGAAGGTCTTTTTCATTGACACTTACTGTACATGTATATTCTGGTACATGTAATTCATGAGCCCTAGTTACACATGTACATATAGTAAGTGCAGGGTGACTGCACCACACATAAACAATTACACAAGACAAACCTATGGACAAGACACAATATACACACACCACAAACAAGGATCACCTGCGGGGGGGGGGGGGGCTAGCTGTGCTCCGTTGTTATAGTGGTGGGTACTGAGTGGGGCAGAGAATATTACTCTTACTCTCTCATGAAGACCTGGGGCCTGTTTCACGAAATTTTAACTAAGATAAAATTTTAGTAATTTGATTGGATAATATTAGATTGATTTTAGTGCTTAGCCAATCAAAATTGAAGTATCTACTAAAATTTGGATTTTATCTTTAGTTAAGATTTTGAGAAACATGAGAAACATGGCCCTGGTTGTTATTTATTGTTTCTCATTTTAGTAAGCTCACTTACGGTTGTCTTTTGTTTTATGGTCCCTTTCTTTGTCATTGATTACACACCTTATTTAACACATACAGTATTTGATTGATTTATCTCGGGGGTGGGTGGGTGGGGTGGTGGATAGCCGAATGGTTAGCACATGCGCGTTGTATCATAAGGTCTGTCATTGAGTCATCTGGGGTGGTTTCGATTCACCAGTTATACGTGACAAGGAGTAGGGTCGCCTGTCCAATCTTGTGGGTTTATTCCGGGCTCTCTGCTTTCCTCCCACTGCTAAAGACCCCTACATGTACGTGCAAGTGAATTATTTAAATAAAATTGAACCATATGTAAGTCCCAAAATGATGTGATTTGTGTCTAATGGACGTTAAATCCCATTTCTATCTCTCTGATTTATCTTGCAAATGGTTGGTAGTATAAAGTAAATAGTATTAGATCTTTGGTTCTATTGAACTGTGATACAGATAGTCCCGTAGGATATTGATATTGACTGAAAGTTGGAAGTTTTTCGTACCGGTAATTGATTATTTTAAAACATCCATCTC